TATAATGACATGTCTTGATCTTTGAACTTTCGCCTCTCTTCCATCATATCTAGAATCTCATTTGTCCTCCACGATTTCTTCTTAATTTTTGGTGGTTTGAGAAATTTCTCTCGTATGTCTTTTGAAACTGTATGTAACTTTTCTAGCTCCTGGTCCATTACATCCGATTGAATAACGGTATTCAAATTGTTCTGTATATACTGCTTTACACTATGTTCTGTGTGTTGGACTTTTAATACACTATTTTTTATACACTAGCGATATCCCAAAACTCGAAAATGCAACAATCGTAACATTTCCGGATGACAAAGCTGTTCAGGCAGTGGGAAATAATCATGAAGAAGCTGCAAGAAATCTAATTCTCGCCATTCATCTCTGTTGTTTGTAAGACGTTTCCACATTGGTCCTGCAGTTCTTTTAATATCGTTGCAGTCTTTGAGTGAGATATCCAGCATCTGTCGTTCCATAGCTCTCTGAGTTTTTCTGATCTTCTCCATGTTTATTTTAGTGAATGTCCAGGTTTGAGCTCTATATGTAGGAATTAAACACTTAGGTTCGCAGTCTTTGAAGTATATTTTTATTTTTAAGTACGTATGAGAGTCTTCCGAATGCTGCTCATCCCATTTTTACACGTCTGCTTATTTCGGTAGTCTGATTTTCTTTGCTTACTTTGACATTTTGACCCAGATATTTATATTCATCTACGTGTTCTATCTCTGTCCCTTCGATGTTTATCATAGGTTTGTCATCTTTGTTTGACATTAGTTTAGTTTTGCTGAAATTCATTTTCAGTCCCTCTTTTAGGGATTCTGTGTGTAGCTCCTCAATCATCGTATTCAGTGAATTCCACGTGTCGGCTATTAGTACTACATCATCTGCGTATCTACGATGGTTCAAGTATCTTCCTTTAATAGGGATTTCCTTATTTTACCAGTCTATTGACTTAAAGATATCTTCTAGAGCAGCTTTGGAGATATTGTGTCTTCTTGTCTTACTCCTCAGTTGATCTTTACTGGTCTTGTTTCAATTCCATTACCCAACGTCACTATCACTTCAGCTTGTTCGTAAATATTATGTATTAATATTCTGTACCTGGAGTCGATCCGGTTGTTGACTAATGCTTCTTCTAGTACCCACAGTTCTACGTTATCAAAAGCTTTTTCATAATCTATACAAGTCAGACATAATGGGAGATTGTCTTCGTTAGATTTTTCTATTAGGATTTTCAAAGTATATAAATGGTCACAGGTGCTGTATCCTTTTATAAATCCGGCTTGTTCTACTGGTTGATATCCGTCAAATTTAATTGTTAACCTGTTTGTAGTAATCTTTGTAAAGGTATTGTAAAGTTGTGAAAGAAGTGAAATTGGTCGATAATTTTTCAGGTCTGTGGTGTCTCCCTTTTTGTGTATTAGTATTGTTTTAGCAGTATTCCATTGTTCGGGTATGTTGCCTTGGAATAGACATTTATTAAATAGTATTTTTAAATATGTGATGCCTTCTTCTCCGCCTTCGTTCGGGATTTTTGCTAGGATTCCATCGCTTCCAGCAGCTTTATTCCTTTTTATTACTTTTACTGCTCTTTCTATTTCTTCGTGGCTTATTTTGTACATATCGGCGTAGAACTTTTCAAAATCCTAGATGATTGGACCAAAAATTGGAGGATAAAGTTTAATGAGAATAGAAATGAAATCTCCGAAAACAATTCAAAGAAGCATCAGAAGTGATTTTTTGGGGAAAGGAGGAACGATGGATAACATCTACATAAATATTGAGAAATACTGAGAAAAAAAATGAAAAATCTGCAAATCAGTCGAAAGATAATAAAGGGGCGTTGTGAGCAAGATACCAGTGAATATATGGCAACGAAAGAGTAAATATCTTCGGTAAAAGAGGATCTACAATAAATACTTGGGTCAGCGACACAATGAGAGCCTGGATCCCAAAAGGATACTCAAATCAAACATAGGGCAAAATGTATATTTGATGAAAATGTGCTAATAGGACGAAAATAATGCGGAAAATCAATGGGAATCGACTCAGGGGGCATCTGCGCACAATGTCATAGATCAAAGTTATTGCAAAATATAATTCTTGTATAAGCATTAAATTCTTTTTTATGCTGTGTCTATTATTATACCGTAAAATATTTTATATTTATTATCAGAAAAAATTTAAAAAATCACAAATAGTATTTACAAAACGAGATTATTAGTCAATGGTTAACAATATTAGGATTTATTACTATGCTACGATTTACAACTACATTTTAAAAAAAAATGGCGCGCGGCACTTGACTGAAAAACATCCGATATGCAGATGACAGCGCAGTTTTCACAGCGAATCCATTTAGACGATTTACAAACACTAATGAATTGTATAACTGAAGTCAGCAATAGGTACGAACTAGACTTGTTCAAATAAATCCATTTGAGCGTATAAAACTATTAAAAAATTATTTAAAAATTCCTTTATAAAAGTATAATATTAAAAACCCTATCGGGCTACATCACAGTACGTTTTCGGAATTAATAGTCAAACATGAGTGCTATCTGGATATACATGTTTTGAGCCACTAAATATATGGGTAAAAGCCCTTTAAATGTTGTTAAATTAACTTTGAATTACACTTTTTAACTTTATAAACTATGATGTTTAAGTTAAAATAGGAATAGATAACATATCAACGTAAGACTCCACTGGAGGTTGATAGTCCTGAGAGGAAGTGTCTGCGAGGACATGTTGATAGCTACTTACATCCAGAATGGATAGTCATAAATTTCGTACTTTGGTAGAAATTATGTACATTTTTTATAAGAAATAAACTATTTCAGTAACAGTCACCTAACTAATGGCCACTTGACAATGATCTACTACTACTCTCTTCTCCTCTCTCTCTTTCTCTCTCAATATCAAACGAAATTTACCAGTAGAGTATGCGCCACCTCTATTCATAGATAGCCAGGATCAGACTCATCTGTCAAATGTCATTCGTAATTTGTCAAAATATACGGTGTGACATACAGGCCGAAAAATGAAAGATTTACCATGAACGATCACATCAATCACTTATTTGCTATCTTTTTCTATAACAAATGTTTGTTAGAATTATAGTTTATTCGTCTTCCGGGTTTGGACCATGTCATTTGTGAGTGACCCAAAAGTGGGTTCATCTCGACGTTTTCGCTACAATTATATGTAGCTTCTTCAGGAGAAACAAAGAAAAAGAAAAAGAAAACAAAAGAACAGGAAGATGGGTAGTTAGCAACGGTAACTCAGTTACTCAACGCAACCAGAGGCGAATACTAACTACCAAGATGGGCATTTGGTCACAGTAACTCAACTACTCAACGCAGCCAGAGGTGAAAACCAAATGCCAGGACAGGGATTCACGTCCAACAGCTCAGAACACTAACGCGTCCAGAGGCGGGGACTGAATCGCCTCTCGACGCGTTAGTGTTCTGAGCTGTTGGACGTGAATCCCTGTCCTGGCATTTGGTTTTCACCTCTGGCTGCGTTGAGTAGTTGAGTTACTGTGACCAAATGCCCATCTTGGTAGTTAGTATTCGCCTCTGGTTGCGTTGAGTAACTGAGTTACCGTTGCTAACTACCCATCTTCCTGTTCTTTTGTTTTCTTTTTCTTTTTCTTTGTTTCTCCTGAAGAAGCTACATATAATTGTAGCGAAACGTCGAGATGAACCCACTTTTGGGTCACTCACAAATGACACGGTCCAAACCCGGAAGACGAATAAACTATAATTCTGACTCTGGCCGTGGAAGCCTACGATTTCAAATGTTTGTTATTTATAGAAAAAGACAGCAAATACAAAACAAGTGATTGATGTGATCGTTCATGGGTAATTAAAAACGTAAAGGAAAGCTGGATGAAATAACGTTGTGAAGAATTGGAATCACTAAAAGAAAAGGGAGACTAAAAGGGAGAATAAAAAAGCACGAGTAAGACAGAACAAATCAACCAACACAGAAGAATTTTAAATTTTAAGAGGGGTGCAACAGGGGTGTATTTTGTCTCCTATGCTCTTAAATCTCTATGTGGAAAACATTTTTGCAGAGGCACTGGAAGGCTCTGAGTGTGGAATAAAGGTAAATGAGTTCCCGATAAATAACATTCGTTACGCGATAATAACAGACAACGAACATGATACGCAGTTGATGTTAAATAAAATAAACACCGTAGGAAAAATATATGGCTTGAAGATAAATGCTGGAAAAACTAAATGCATGGCAATAAGAAAACAACGCAGTTTTAAGAATACAACTGCAAGTAGATAATGCTCCAATCGATCAAGTGAAAACATTTAAATACTTGGGAATGATGATGAATGACCAATGGGATCCTCAAAAAGAAATAAAATGCCCTACCTAACAAGCAAGACAAGCTTTTATCAAATTTAAACCGCTACTATGGTCCATATTATTATACGGAATGGAAACATGGACGTTAAGAGTACGTTCTATTAACAAGTTGGAGGCCTTCGAAATGTGAACGTTGCGAAGAATGTTCCGCATACCATGGATAGATAGGGTGAGAAACGAGGAAGTCCTAAGAAAGGCAAATACTGAGAGAGAACTACTAAATTTGATCAAGGTACGAAAAATTGAATACCTCGGCCATATTCTGAGAAGAAAAAAATACGCAATCCCTCAACTAATCATCCAGGGAAAGATTAAAGGCAAGAGAGGAGCAGAAGAAGACACGGCACTATAAGAAGAAGAAGTTTAGGACCAAAATTTTTTTAACATTTTATAAAGGCTGTAATCATGAAAAAGACAGACAGTATTAAGCGAAAAATGTCAGCTTTACGTCAAAATGTATCTATCCATCGATTGCAGAATCAAACAGAATATTTAAAACATATTCTTCGATTTAATTTTAACTAGTTGACTGTTATATTTGTTAATGTACGATTATACAATTGAAAATTCATAGCATAGTAATAAATAATTTGTTAAACAATCTTGTTAAAAATTTCACCTACCCACAATTGAACCTATCCGTGTTGAGTGATTTTTCCAAGCGCAAGACATTAGTGTTCCTGTAGTGTCATTCAAAATAGCACATATCTCAATCTGTACGTCCTATAAATAAAAGAAATAAAAGCATGCATAAATCTATATGAAAGTATAGTAAAGCTGCATTCAAATGTAGACTAAATATTTAAAATGGACTCATTGATATAATTAAAAGGTGCTCGCGCGTAACGCTTAATCCGAGTGTACAGATTCAAGACATTTTTGTTAAACCTATGGTGATACCCATCATGCACATTCCGTTCATGTGTGTGTGTGCTATAGTAGCATTGTGCTTAAAATTTATTATACAACTCACCAACAATGGCACCAATTCGGCACTGACGATTCAACCAAGCACAGGACATTAGAGTGCCAGTGGAATCGTTTAATATTGCCATGACTGATATTTTGAAGTCCTGAAATACACTTTAATATGTATATTTTGATACACCAGTTATTAAAAAAATATATAAAATGGTGAGCAAATGGAATTTCGATGATCTTACCTTATGTTTGCAAATGATAAATCACTACAGATTGATCTTTTTTTAATTTATTCTTAAACTATCTCTATATAACCTGTATATTATATTGTATTGAAGCCAGAGCTTTATAAACACCGGCTGGATGAATGACCTGCAACTGCGGCATGACTTATAACATCGAACATCTTCGATGCGTCCGCACTTCAGTCGAATATTCGAGAACGTCGTATGTGGGGCTGTAAACAATTCGGAAGAATAATCTAATTTTTGGATTCTTCAATTGTTTACCAAAATGTTCTCGAATGTATTATTTACTTACATAAAGACCAGTTACTCTTCATCAATCAGCCAATCGCGTACACTGCTGGACATAGGCCTCCCTCACTTCTTTCCAGTGTTCTCTACACTGGGCCGCTTGTAGCCAGTTTCCCGCTACACGTTTTATATCATCGGTCCATCTAGTCGGTGGTCGTCTTCGGCTTCTTTTATAGTTTCTGGGCCTCCATTCCATAATACGTCTTGTCCACCGTCCATCTTGTGTTCTGGCTAAGTGCCCTGCCCAGTTCCACTTAAGCGTCGTGGTTCTTTCGATGACGTCTTGAACTCCTGATCTTTGTCTTATTTGTTGGTTTGTTATGTGGTCTCGAAGGCTCACGTTCAGTATTGCAATGCTGAACGTGAGTTACTCTAAACCATATTTCATTCTCGGTCGTGTTTTTAAAATGTTTATTTCACAGTTCAAAATATATTCAAATCTTTCTGACACAATAAGTTTATTGTTTACAAGATGGTTAAGAGCAACCGTCATTATCGTCACCTTTAGGAAATATGGATCGTAACTAGTCTGCCCTGTCCATGTCTTTACTAGTTTGTTCATGCTTTTCTTAGTCCTTTGATCATTTTCCATATTTCTCTTTGTGTTCCGTACTTTATATCGCTTCCTTGCTTTCTTTTACAATGGGTAAGATTCTAACCTGACCCATCAACCCGATGGTTAATAGAAAATATTTACTTAAATAATCGAATACAGACAAAGATAAATGGAAAACTAACACAGTGTATACCAGTACAAAGCGGAGTCAGACAGGGTGACTCGTTAAGTTCACTTCTCTTTAATATAATAATAGACAGTTTTAATATAATAAATAGTACAGTTAGTACATAATGGTCATGGCTATACAGAATGGGGAACAAAGAAATCAAAATATTATGTTATGCAGACGACGCCGCATTAATCGCCGAGAGAGAAGACCAGCTCCACAGATTAACACACATCTTCAATAAAAAGAAATACAATGTGATAATATCAGCAGAGAAAACCAAATGTATTCTTCTCTTCTTAGAGTGCCGTCTCCCTACGAAAGTTGGCAATCATAATGGCTATTTTTATTTTTGAACTTGCTGCTCTAAACAAATCAATCGATCTGCATTGATACCAATCACGTAGATTATTCAACCATGAGTTCTACCTTCGGCCAACAGATCTTCTTCCTTGAAACTTTCCGTATTATGAGTCTCAAAATTTCATATTTTGGTCCCCTCATCACGTGGCCTAGATATTCCAGTTTTCTGGTTTGTATACTGGTGATTAGTTCTGCTTCTTTATCAACACTCTCCAGTACTTCTTTATTTCTAATTCTATCAGTCCATGATATTTTTGATATTCTGCGTTATAGCCAGATTTCGAAAGCCTCGATTCTTTTTAAATTGTATTTTTTTAATGTTCAAGTCTCAACTCCATATAATATTATTGAAAATATATAACAGCGAATGGTACGTAGTCTGATCTCCAAATTTAGATTTTTGCACGTTAGGAGTGGCTTCATTCGTATAAATGCTGATCTGGCAATCTCTATTCGACTGTTTATTTCTGCAGTATGATCATTGGTTTCATTGATCAAAGTTTCCAAGTACTGATATTTTTCTACTTGCTCTATCACGTTACCATTGATTGTCAATAGGTGATGTATATTTTGTGTTTTTTTTGTAATTAGCATGTACTTCGTTTTTTTTAGCATTTATATTTATTTCCATCTCAGCATTATTCATACTTAAGCTTTCGATAAGATGTTGTAGATCTTCTATACTCGGTGCTATGATCACAGTGTCATCCGCAGATCGTAAGTTGTTAATTAATTTTCCATTAACCGTAATTCCCGCTTTGATATTATTGAGCGTGTTTTGGAAAATTTCTTCAGAATATAAGTTAAACAAAAGTGGTGATAACACACATCCCTGTCTAACTCCTCTACAGATCCTCATTTCTTCTGAGTGTTGCCCATCAATTTGGACTATGGCACTTTGGATCCAATATAATGTTTGCACTATATTTATGATTTTACTGTCAATGCACTTGTTCATAAGTATTGATATTAGTTTTTCATGTCTTACTCTATCGAAAGCTTTTTCGTAGTCAACAAAGCACAAGTGTTGATCAACATTTACATCCCGACATCGCTGAATTAATATGTTGATGGCAAATAGTCCTTCTTGAGTACCCATTATTAGAGAGAAGGGAAAACATAAGAAGAGCATGCAATATAGAAGACATAAATGAGAATAAGAAGTATTGACAGACCAAGAAAAAGATGGTGCGATAATTTAAACAATTTAAGAGGCTAACATTGAAGAAGAAACAGGCTTTAAAGGCTATATACAAGAAGGAAGAAGAAGTGTTCCGTACAAGTCGTGTTCCATCTGTTTTGGGAATCTCTCTCAGTGTTCCCTTTTTATTTTTCAAACTTTTATTTATGATCCGTTTGTAGCGGTTGTATACCTGTTCACATTATGTTTCCGCTTCCTCTCTAAACCATGGGGTTTTCTTTTTTGATATGGTAGTGTTCGTTACTTTTCCCTCGTTCGTTACTTTTTGTAAATTCTTGTACAAAACTGATTTTTCTGTTGTACAGGAAATGCGCTATTATCTATACATATCCAAAACATTCTACAAAATAAATTATAGTTGTCACGAAATCGGCAAATATTTTTTAGGTAATTATTGTTTAATCAACGCCAACAATTTACATGTATTTACGTACATACGTAAAAAAACAACTCGACGGTGATATTTCCATTTTTAATAGTCACCTTCGTATACATATTTATTTTAAAACTCCATAATAAAAATTGTATAATGAGTAAGTATACTTTTATCGAAAACCCACATCGAGAAACTGGACATTAAGCTAGCTGTACTGAGTCAGTATAATTATTTTGTTGTGATACGCCACTTTTTATATGAATAATACTATTTATCTTCTATTAGATAAACACGCCAAGCAATTTTATAAATAGTTTGTGGTTTGTTCGGTTTTTTATAACAGAGGATAAAATGTTTATAATATTAAAAGAAATGATATGCACCTTCTTACAAAGACAAAATAAAAGGATTAAATTACCGAGTTTTTTTTTATAAAAATGGTATTAATAACGGTCTTATCAGTAAAACGTTGTTATAGTCGGCACGAATTTCGGAGGGAATGTGTAAAAATAGCTCATAACTTTGACAACAGAGAACTTAAACCAACGCGACGACGACGAAAATAACTATAGAATCATTTAAGATTAAAGAGCAACCCTATGATTTGTAAAAGAACAAATCTACGATTGATTTTATAGTCACTAATAGAAAAATCCACCCAAAGCAGATTCTAGATATCCGAACTTCAAACTCAGCAGACGCAGGGAGTGAACACAAATTAATACTATTGTTATGTTAACTTTATTGTTATCCTTGTTGCGAGATATATTTTATTTAGGACAGGTCTTATCTTGAATGTATCCGGGTGATGTCATCTCTTTCATTGAGACATTTCGGATGTTTTTCAATCTCTATGGCTTCTGCGATTATTCTTCGTTTATAGAAACGGATGGGGGAAATTTGAGAATTTTATCGATTTTATCAGTGACACCTTTGATATACAGAAGAAAAGCTTTCGTATGATGAGGGTCTGATTATTTGGAATGGGACTAAGCCAGAGATTTATACCTGATACGATTTTCGCGGTAATTTTGAACGAGAGCGTGTTTTAAAGACTGATAGTTCAGCGGATCTACTTGCATCACCACAAAGGCGTATTACTCTGTTTATCGAAAATCCACCCATATAAACCGTTACTTGCATATGCCTACTCCCATCACCTACCTTCAAGATTAATTCAGTCATTAATACCTTGTTTCCAGATCAATACGACCTTCTCGCATTGCATTAATAATGCAGTAAACAGTATACAAGTAGACTGAGACCCCAGAAACCCTGATGAACACTTCGGAGAAGAAGTCGAAAGCTCAGTGTATTCAAATTTGACATGGTTCAACCCGGAAACAGGTAAGTTTGATATTTTACAAGCAAAGCTATGCTATAAAGCATTTTCAACTTGAGTATAATGATATTCTCAAGAATATCAGTTCGTTCATTCAATTAAATGTGAAAAATAGCCTATAATGCATTGAGTTTGATTGGAAGATTAAAAAAAATTGAATCTAAAGCATTCATAACAGAAACTGAAGCATATCATAATAATAACTAGTAATACTAGTATAACTAGTATGTAATAGTTAGGTATTTTGTTTTTCCGAAGCATATTTCTTATCTGGACGCTTACGTAGCACCCTTCTAATATTTTTCCAATAAAAAATATACGGCTTCCCAATCACGATGAAGGTAAACACGTGTCAATGATAAACAGCTAAGAACATCTATTATACGTATCTGGGAAATGTAAAAATAAGCGAATCGTCACTGAAAGATATAAACAGTTACACCGCGATTCTTATCAATAAAACATCGCATGGGTTGTTTACAACATTTACGTCATAAATAAAATTATGAACCTATATTTACGTTAATCTAGCTGTACCTCTATATAATTATTGTTGTCTATTGCATTAAACTTAAAACCATAAAATGGCATCGTATGGTAGAAATAACATTTGCAAAATATCCCACATCAGGACAGAAAGTAATAAATAGGGAAGAAATCGTCCAGATTAGTGATTCTTTTTACAAATAATTATATGAAAATTCTTGATGTAGTATTGATCTCTTAAATGTTTCTATTTAATTTGACTTAAATCCGGATTTCTCGATGCGATCTTCGATTAACACAAAAAACAAACAACTTACCCCACGTCTTTCAATAGCTTCGTTCAACATTTGCACCACATCGTTTCCCACTACGTTAGAGCAATTGAATCCCTTGGTCCATCTTTCGAGGTAACCAACTGTCAATCCTTTCTGCGATAAGGGGAAACTGAATGTGAAACCTAAAGGTAGCTTTTGATCGGCTACTTGCTCCTCTTTGACGAAAATAGCCAGACACTCGGCGATGTGGTCGAAAAGTTGTTCGCCCGATCCTAACATGATGTGTTGGGGAATGGCGAAGATTTTGGATTTCATTTCGAAGTGTTCGCCGCTGAGCTCGATGAGGAGCACTCTGAAGTTGGTACCTCCCAGGTCTAGGGCTAAAAATTTGCCGTTTTCTGGAAAACACATAAAAAGAATATGTAAAATGCGGCATCACATACGATGAAAGAAAAATCGTGCAAAATGCCAAGTTATATAAAACATCATCAAATGTCTTGTGTGCAAAATGCAACATCATATGGAGGAAATGTTTTCGGCCTATCCTCCTCCTCCTAAGTGCCTTCTGTGTTCATATAAAATGTGGCAGAGGTATGTTAATTTCCTGACAGCATTATCACTTGGTGTTTAAAATTTTCGGCTTCGCCGTAACCTAAATTAGGGCCTTAGGTCTTCGCCGGGTGCCTTGTTGTTTTTTGCGTCTTTTATTGCCTGCAAAACTTCTTCGGTGAGAATGTTTATTTTTCCATCTGTATCTATTTGTGGGGCTCTTCTGTTCTCTGATCACCAAACAAATCTTTAAGATATTGCTCCCATATTTCTTTCTGTTTTTCAGGGTCTAATTCCATTTGGCTTTTCTTGTTTCTTACAATCGATAAGTGTTTGGGTTTCCATATTCCAGATACTTCTTTAACCTTTCTGTGTAGTTCTCTATATTTATGCTTCATTTGCAAATCTTCTACCTCTTTACAATTTTCTTTCATCCACTCTTCCTTAACTAGATTTATTTTTTCTCGATTTCCCTGTTGAGTTCTTTGTATCTTGTTGGGTTTTTGTTTTTTACCATCCGTCTCCACTCCATAATTTGTAAACTTTCGTTTGTCATCCGTGCTTTTCTATGTTTACGGTTTTCTTTCTGTATACTTTGGTCTGCTGTCTCCAAAGCAGTATTTTTAATTTTCCACCACATGTCTTCAATGTTTTCTTTTATTGTCTTCTCCTTAGTAGGAGCTATTGTGACTAACTGCGTGTCTATCATGTCTTCATACTTCTGTTGCTCTCCATGGTTAGCACTACTCCATGCTATTCTGTGACTGGGTTTAGCCTTGTCTACTCTTAGGCTTTTAATCGGATAGTGAAGACTACAGGATTGTGGTCTGAATTTATGTCACAGCTTGGGTACGTTGTTACATTTAGAATAACATTACGGAACCTTTTGTTAGTTGTAATGTAGTCGATTTGGTTCCTCACAATATTTTCTTCACAATCTTGAGGAGAGCTCCACGTGTATAGACGTCTTTTAGGTAATTTAAACCATATGTTAAGAACCACCAGGTTGTTCTCTTGGCAAATTCCCATTTAAATATTAATTACTTTAAAATGCCACAAGAAAATGACGTCAGAACAATAATACAGTAACTGTTTCGGTATTATGAAAAGGGTAAATTGAGTATTTTAAATCTTAATGCATATAAGATAAATCTCACCTGTTCCGTTTGGAAGATCTTGCACGTAAGTTGGAAAACATTTCACGATCGATGTTGGGTGTGTTTCTTTTTTCAAACCTCTGTGAACGTTTTCCAAAAATACTTTCATCAGTTTGTGTAATTTTTCATTGGTTAAAATTAACTCTCTGCATTTGTCTCTTATCTGAAAATAAAGAAAAATAGTTAATTTACAATAAATAACGAAGATTGTTTTGTTATACTATATGTATAATAAATGACGGATTTGACATTTGCATATGCAATTTCATGCTTATACTTTCTTGAGTGTTATTTAGAAGTTTTTATTACAATTTATAGAATAAAGAAAACACAAAAAGTCATAGAAATGCAAACTCGTTTTGATAAGGTGGTCGATAGCCTATTGAGGTATAGGCTACTGAAACTTCGTGAATAGGAGCTGCTAAAGCGACTTAGCATGCCCCAAATATGTTCAATTGTATACAGATCAGGCGATCATGGTGGCCAAGGTACATGGTTGATGTTATGTTGATTCATGAAGAATAACGAGTCTTTGGCAACATTCTTCTGTGAAAAATCGAGTTTTGGATGGTGTTTAGGTATGGAATTTTGTTTTATGTTTAGGTAAGAGTTTTGAATGTAACAGACTGGGGATGGGAGCTCAAAAAATTCCTATCATCCTTTGTATACACAGCCTCCTGCTCCACCAAGTGTTTTCACTTCAGGAGACGAGGTCCAGCCTGGGTACCAGGTAGCTAGAGGACCATTGTCGTTATCATATTTGTTTTCAGCGACCTAGAAAATCCCCGAGTAATGACGGTCAACTGATTTAGAATGAAATTAGCAAGAAACTCCAGGAGATGAGGTCCACCCGGGCACCAGGTAGCTTCAGGACCATCGACGTTATCATATTGATGTTCAAGGACATCGAAAACTACCCGAGTAATCACTGTCGATTGATTTAGAATGCAATTAACATGAAACTCCAGGAGACGAGGTCCACCCTGGGCACCAGGTAGCTCGAAGACCATCGTCGATGTCATATTCGTGTTCAGCGTCCTCGAAAACCTGTTACTAACAATATTGAACTCATTTTTGTCGATATTTTTCGAGTTGCAAATTTTTAATTTTTTATGCACGTTGGAAAAGCATTTTCCTTTTGCACAAGATGCTATTTTTAATATACCACAATGAATTTTATTCACAAACTTTCGTAACATCTTACTGCGGAAAATTGGTAGCCTTAGTTCTTCGTTGCCTAGTCTATACAGAGAATACTATCGTATTCTTGACTTACATCTGATATTAAATTATGCAAGGAATGTGTTAAAGCTGCCCTAAAAACGGATTCTTCTTTACTTAGGTATTTATTACCTATTCATAGTTAGTTTCGGTCATAAATATCCGGTTTTAACAGAAACTGCTCCAGGCTACCTGGTTCCAAAGCAACCGCTACATTGTTATGTTTTTATACCTCATTTTGAAGATAAACGACCTATAAATAGAATAAAAATTCATAAAATGTTGTGTGGTTTTTGAAATCTATAGGGTTTATACAGATTTTTTTGAAGACGTTCACAATTAGTTAAAATATTCCTTCATTTGACTCAAAATTAATTCAAATGTACTGTCAATACTCTCATGTGCATTCTATTCATATTGCACAAGTCACTAAATTCGGCTAAACAATCCAATAGAAAAGTAACAGTAATTTCGCAATGAATTGTATGAACATTTGGTAACGTTTTTTAACATTTCAAGTCGACTGGTCCTTCGGAATTTCCTAATTAAATGTTATACGACCGCACAGTTGAAAAATTCGAAATTATTTAGCATAAATTATGGTGTAGAAGTGGAACGAATAGTTCCTTTTAGTGTGTCGATTGTTTGGTTCCGACTCTGTTCGGAATCGGTTCCTTTAATTTATTTTTAATTTTATTGTTCTGAATTTCAATTTATGCCCACTCTACCGTTCGTATATTTCGTTCTTCTTCTTCTTTACGTGCCATCTCCGCGACGCGATCTCTATTTCATTTTGATGTCGAAATTTAAAAGCGACTACGCCATGACAATCGCAATCGCTAGCGATTTTCGTTCATTTCGATTTTAATTAAAACTGGGGATATTAACTTTATCATTTTGACACTGCTGAGAATTTGGGTTGGCACTTCTTGTTTATTGGCTATACGCTGCACAACGCTTGTTGAATGGTTGAATTTTTGTTTTGTTTCGTTATATTGTACGTATTTTTTTCTTGTTTGAGTGAGTGGAATTGAATGAAAATGGATGGATAGGCTGTCGGTGATGGTGGTACTAAATTGTCTGTAGAACAAAAAAAAAATCATGATGGCTTTTTTGGAGGACCATCCTGATTTTGCTAAGGGCTATTTATGACATAGACATAAGACATAACCGGTGACATAACCATCTAAATCATTCCATTTGTTCGAATTATTATCTCATCATTTCAAAAATACGATGATTACCGATCATTTTCTGACATTTCAGTCGAACCGAGTTCGTAATCACTTTTTGGCTTCGATACGTATTCGTATCGAGTTTGCCTTCGTTTCGTTTTGTGACTTCGTGTTCGTATCGGAATTTCATAATCTCCAGAAGTTGAAATTAATTTCGATAAATCAAAAATTAGTGACGTCCTTTCGTTAGTTCAACTGAAATCTACAAGGCTCGCAAAGTCGCATTTCGACGTCGCCATATTAATGTCGACATGAGTCGAAATCTCAATTAGAATCAGGGTCCTGATCTTAGATGCTCCCCCTCTGAATAGTCCGATTTATGTGCTTCCGTACCATTCCCTCAAGTTACGCAACCATGAGATTCTTCTCCTTCCTACACTTCTCTTGCCCTGGATTTTCCCTTGCATAATTAATTGAAGTATGTTGTATCTCGGTCCATGATATCTAGATATCTGATATATTTAGGTAGTAATTTGCAACTTTGAAGATGCTATCCTACTACTAGTATAGTAGTTAATATCATTGTCGTATCACGACCATAATAATAGAATCGATATAGATTCGCACAATCAGTACATGACGATAATGACATATAGCTGACCATAGATCTAAAGAAAAGATACGTTTCTTTAGTTTTTGTCACTGTTTTTGTTGAGCGTCGACGAAACAGTTCAGTAATGTTCGGATCTAATCTGATTTCTGTGTTGCTGAATCGTACCCATTGAACGATTCCTTTAGCTTGACTCACCTCTATTACGGATGGCGACATGAGAGACCAGCCCGCTTGTTAAAAATGCTTGCATTGTCACGGTTGGCTTTTTACAACCTTTGAACAGGTTAGAAATGCGACATTTATAAGATATACTACGCATTAAGTACATTCAGGTATGGATCTGTCATTATTTTAATCGACATTGCATCATGAATGTTATATTTGAAATTTAGTTGTTAAAAGTTATGAAAGGAAGAAAGCAATATGGAAAAATTACAGCGCTATAGATATTAGTAATAACAAATAAAATAGTCCGATGATTCAAGATTCTATATAAATGAAAGATAAAATATATGGCCGAGAAAAAAACGATGGTACTGAATAGTAGTAAAGAATAAAATCTAGCAATGGGAAAGACGGTTCTATGAAACAAGTCATATTGCAAATATCCCAATTTTCCCTTTGCCGTAACCTACAATCTTTTATTTCTGTTGGGAATAGCTGTTGGGAAAAATACATTGTTATAGTGCTATCAGCAAAACTCACATAAAGATAATAATATATCTAAAAGTTTATGGTTTCACAAATTATAATACAAAAGATTGCCGATAAATATTAGTTCCTATAGCTATTTATCAGGGATATTAGATGAAATTTGATAAGATACTTTTATTGATTTAACTGTAATTCTGTAGAGAACAAAAATATGAATGGTTACTGCCAAAAGAATATAATTTTATTTAGCGTAAGACATTTTGACACATTTAAAAAGATTTCTTTTCAGTTAATGCATTTTTTTTTCGTAATCCTTTCATTTGGTGTTTCTTTTTTGTGGATAATTCCCTAATCACTGAACAAACTACAATTAGGCGCGAAATAATACGGAACAAAAACACGAACATCTTCACTATTTGGAAATCTAAATAGTGAAGAAACTGGTGAAGACTGAATAATAATTCTGATATTTTTAAAATGGTTATACAATTATTATATTCTTTTGATAGATACTTAATGTCAAAAGTTCCTCTGAGATACAAGAGCTTTCATATTTGTAACGTATATTGCAAGAAATATCTTCGATATGCGACAATTATTTCGAAAAGGTTTTAAATAGTGTTTTAAGATTTACAGATTTTACAAACCGAATATACGTGTAATATCGAAAATATATTAATTTTTTTACAGTAGCGAAAATGATAATTAGGACAAAGACTGCACGGGTATATTAATGACTAGTGACTATAGTGTTAAATATGTACATGATGCTCCTATACATGAACTGGTACTGTTCGCAGTATGGTTTACAAGTGTTCAACCAAAGTGTAGGTCTAATCCAACCAAAAGTAGGATAATTTCAGAGAAAAACTGACCCAGTACAAGTAAAACTGTAAATAAGTCGAAAAGACTCCCGCATGCTCCAAAATCAATAAAGTCTTGGCGAGGGGTGGTAAAACTTGACGAGTGGTTCGACTAATTTTGTCCTTATAATTTTTAAATGCACAACCTTCGTTGAATGACATTTTAAATCCTTTAGGGTGCTATCAAACGTTAAGAAACGCGTTATATTGTATGTCGATAAATTTCTTAGTTTTAACATAAATTTTCTACACTGTAATACCTTTATATCCAACGTGCTTGTCTAATAAATATTATTGTGTATTATATATACAAACGTGAAAAATCTTTGCAATTTGTTAACAGTAAAATTGACGGCAAAGCAATACATTAATCGTTATTTCAAACAATACAGTAATAATAGATGAATGGCTGGCTATCTATTATTTAGTTGAGCACTGGTAAATGAACTATGTAGATACCTGGTTCTACGAGACTGCATTGAAGTCGTGATTTTGCAATTACAGCTTGAGGTTGATGATTGTAAACAAAATAGTACACTATTTATGTGTTGTTTTAAACGTACAATTCATAGAAAAAAAGGAAAAATGTACAGGAAATCATTCTAAAATATGTAAGGGCTTGTCAGAAAAAAATATAACGTTTTAACGCAATTTAGGGAAACTTGGGTCACAGTGAACCATGTTAAGGAGCGATCTCATAGGGTAGTGTTCTTCATATCAGCGAAGATAAATAGAAAATCCGTAATAGAAAAAGACAAAATATATAAACGGTAACAAACACAACGTGGAATACCCTATTTCTTTTCAATTTTTGAGGTTTACGATCCCTGTGAAAGAACAAAACTGTCTATTTATGGTCGGCACGTGCTATCCCGGTAAATCGTCCCGGTTCAAAAGAATCGGAAGCTGATTAAATCGCATGTCAATCGCTTCAGACGCGGCTAGGAGAGGTTCGGTCAGTGTCTTGTAATTTTACTATGAAGTGATGTACTAGGAAGCTGTGTCGGAATTTTATTATTGTATAAATAACCCAATTTACTAAAATTTTTACCGGGAAACACTGATGGCGTACAACAGACTTAAACTTTAATGCTTTCCATCTGAATGGTCCGACTACATTTTGGGGTAGGTCGAGAGCATTTATTAAAAAGTAAATATTTACTAATTTTACAGTAACGTGGAATGCCAACCTTTGTCTCTTTTCTGATCGTTAATATCTATTTTCTGTTTCTCTTTACCGACGTAAACCAGCGAATAGCGCTATTCCACGAGCTGTCTGATTAGAGCTTTACAAATTTGAGTAAAACCTATTGAATTGGCGAAGGAAAATGGTATGACAAGAGTTCCTTATCATTCTACCGGAAAGATGCAACCCTTAGACATTTTTATTTACAAATCTTTCCAAACTGCCTACAATGCAGATGTAGACAGTTGGATGATGAGGAATCCAGAATCCTCTAACGATTTGAGGTAGCTGCTTACGTTGGGGATGCCATATGGTATCTCAGTCAAATATTTTAGTGCCTTTAAGAAGACCAGTATCTTCCCGTACGATAGAAGTGTTTTTACCCACATAGACTTTTTGCCAAGTGAAGCTACTAACTGAAAATGATGGAAATACTCCAGATGGGCAAATCTTCAATACAGAAAGTGCACTGGCAGTTAGAGCATAGTAGAAGTAGAACTCCTGAATCTGAGGCAGAAATATCTTTGAAATTTGTAACTCCGGTTCAATTCGGACGGCTGCCAAAGGTTGGGCCGAGGAAAAATAACAGACAACCAAAAGGAAAGAGACACAGACAAATCTATGATAGACACAGACACCCCAGAAAAAATGGAAATTGAGGAGCGCGAAGCAGAAAAGCAGAGAGAGGGAGGAAAGCGCAACTCATAATAAAAAAAGGGTTTCAAAAACCAGAAGATACAACAGATGAAGATACGGTCAGTGTTCATTGTGAGGAAGAAGACTATTATGAAAGCGGTGATGAAGAGAATCTTATAAACTCCGAGGCTTTTAAGCCATTAGAAAAATTACCCAGTGACGGAGACTGTGTTGGTCGAATTCAAATGGAAGAATCTTGATTTATTACAAAAGGTCGAGGAACAAACAGTAGAAGTACGATTTTAAAAAAAATTATAAAATGGAAAACAGATTCCGTTTGCCAGACGTTTTAGACTTATCTCCGGTTGCACTGTCAGACATAAAAATGATATTACCACAACCATCTATCTGTTTACTGGAAATACTAAACGACAACAGTCATTCTATTCATTCAAATTCAATTTTACTCACTCAAATAGACATACGGTAGCTTGTAGTAGTAGTGAGTTATTTAAGGTTTTGCTATATCATGCGTTTTCTTTTCTTCAATAAACCTGGTGATTTTCTGTACCTCTAATGGGCCCTGAAAAAAACATCCAAAAGCAAACTCGACACATTCGAAAGGAAAGGAGAATACTAGGACCTGTGAGGGAAAACGGAATCTTCAGAATCCCTACAACAACAACAAGGTTTATCAACTTTATAAGGAAGCACCACTGTCAGACTTCATTAGAATACAAAGATTGCATGGGCTGGACATGTGATAAGAATGGGAGAGAGGATAGGCTAGGAAAGGAGACAAGGCTCAATTTGAGCTGCAGTGCCTTAAAGAAGAAGAAACGTCTGGATGGATCCTGTTTCGCTTATGACAGTAAAAGTTCGTATCATATAGCATTTATCATCCAAATTTCCGACAATATGCATATTCTTTTCAGAGTTATGCCACTTCAAGTTTTTTTTTGACTGATTTGACTTCCGATCCAATGTGAGAACTGAACAGAACATGCCTACTGGCAACCTAAATATTGAGCATAGCATAATAATAATCAAATGGACACAAAGTGACTATAAGAAATTGATGGAAAGCAGTTAATTTGGTCGTACATAAGCATTGTATTAAAGACAGTAATGTAACAGCGGTTAACACATAAAATTCTGTTCAAAGAAGTGACTTTCCATGTATTCCACAGTTCATAAACCACTTTGTAGCATCATCACGGAAGTTGAACATTTATGTATGACAAATTGATAGCAAAAATAGAAAGGAACCGAAAAATAAGTGCTTATGACAAAAGATATATCATTATATCAGATTATTAAAATGATAACAAAACTAATTGGAATAAAGTGTGCAAAATGGCCTAAACTGGCATTAATAACAGTTCGATAAGAGAAGGTTTGTTTATTAGATACTTTCTTTTTGCTGGCAACAATAATAAGCACTCGTTAAAATCTATATAAAATAGCTAAAAGTGTCCAATTAAGTATATACCTGTCTAGATCACAGACTTTCTTTGATGTTATTATGATGATATTATTATAAAATAAAAGTCCTCTAAAGGCAGACAGTACTTCATTTCTATTAATCTATCCACTTGATATCGGATTGTTTGCCCTTACTTGAAATTGAAAATAAAAGACAATCTATCAAAAACCTGACGCAACCAATTAGCAAAAATGTACACAATTATTATACCAACACAATATACAAAAAACTTGATGACAAGAAACTCAAATAACCCTAATTTTAAAAATCAAGGTTAAACAATCCTATATTAAATAAATGACGTAGTAGCATGTGCTCTATAACGAAAAATCGATATACGAATTTGTTCTAAAATCTAAAAATGCAACTAGTTCAAACGTACCAAAGGTGTGGCTTGGATGTTCCTTTTGTAACCCATTTTAGACTTGTAAAACACTACAAACAACAAAAAATACTGAACTGGATACAATCTACGTATTATAAACGTAGACACGAAACTGAGCTTACAATTTTGCCGGTTCATGCATCATTCACTTATTCCGAAAGAAATCTAGCAGAGGGGGAAGAGATACTGGTATGTTCCGTCTTTTTCCAACGTTGTCAAGCCTCTCTGCGAGCGCGCTGTGATTGGTCGAAGAGAAAGGTGTGTCGCCGTGGCCCACGTCACGCGTTTCTTACCTTTGCACAATTTTGTGCAATTTTCCCAGAAGAAATTTAAGTTTACATGCCGGAATGCACGAAATGTTAAAAAAGTATCAAAAAAGACGTTTAAGACAAAAATGCGATGTTTAAATGCGTTATCGAGAACGGATATACTTTACTTGGAGTTATTTAATATTTTTTCTTATCGTGTGTATTTCAGGCGAACTGTGATAGGGTAACATTGATATAGTATCGCATAAACATTGATTAATATAATTAAATAGCATAAAACTTTTTCGACAGAATTTAAAACGCAATTAATTCTATCATCTAGGTTTAGCCTGTGGTGAAATATAACTTTTGGATTGGATTATGCTTTATTGTCACTGAAAATTGTATAATTTTATGGACAACGCTTACAAAAAGTCAGAAAAATAACAATAACAATTTAAAATTTACTAAAATTACATAAATCGTCAACATCGCAAAATAAAAATTAATAAAATACACAATCCATTGCAAAATTTAAATAAATTGCAAATTGCTTAATAAAACCTTACGGACTAGTTTACGAATACGTTTGAGTTGCTTAGTGCCGACTATAAACATCCTGGGTTAACCGATAATAGTATAAAAGGCCCGGTTTCAGGTAGCAATGGTTTACCTGAGGTACAAGGTTTTAACAATGGGCCAAGTCAGATAAATTTAATAATATTTACGACCACATTAATTGAAGTCAACCATTTTCTGCTAAACAAACTTTACTAGTACCTTAACGTACCGTAATTTCTTAGTTATTCATTAAGAAACTCTTCCACTGAATAATATGGTATTTTATATAGATAAGCTTTTGTGAATTTACGGAATTTAAGGAAAGAAGTTGTAGATTTAAGTTGCAACTGGAGATGTTTGTATAATTTGTTTGTCGAATATAAAATAGATTTCTTTACCAGCTCAGTGGACGGGATCGATAAATACACATCAAAGGTTGAATTTCTGGTAGAGTAGTCATGATTAGGTGTTTGCTAGAAAAACATGTAGGTGTTTACGAATTAAGCAACCAGTTTCTAGAATATATAAAGGGGGAAAAGTTGAAATTCCGTGATTTTTAAAGTAGTTTCTGCAATGTGTTATTCTACTGAGGCCAAAAAGATACCGTATTGCTCTTTTTTGAAATTCAAAAATAAAATGAGATTGGGCAGTTCTACCAGAACCCCAAAAAAAGACCATATCGAAGATGCGACTCGAACAAAGAAAAATATGTTATTGTGGAAGATGCTAAATTCATTTCCTTCGAAACAGATCTTATTGCATAGCAGGCTGAGGCTAGTTTCTTACTTAACAAATCGATATGAAGAGACCATTTAAGGTTGCTGTCTATAAAAATACCAAGACATTTTACGGAATCAACGATACTGGTATGGTTGTTATTAAGAAGCAAAGGTTGAAGAGTTCCTTTATATGCTACTGTCTTATCCACTTTAAAAGAGAGTAAATTAGAGCCGGACCAGGTTTTTATTTTAAGTAGATCAAGTTATAGTTGCATGAAGAGTTGCAATATTAGAGTTCCTCCAGGTGATACTGGTATCATCAACAACAAGAAAAATTTTTCCTTAGTGATGTCATTTAAAAAGATAAGGATCAATAGAGGACCCAATACTGAACCTTGTGGTACTCCACATACAATGCTTTTATGACTAGAGTCAGTATCATTTGCTCTAACTAGTTGTTTCCTATTCCTCAAGTAAGATTGGAACCAATTCAAAGAAATAACTCTAAGGTATAAATTTAGTTTTTTTTTATCAAAATGTCGTAATTTACACCAGGAAAAGCTTTGGCACAGTCACAAAAAACAGTGACAGTGTAAAGATTATTGTTTAGTCCTTGATAGACCTCATGTAGTACAAAAAACATAGCATCTCTCGTACATTTATTAGATAAAAATCCGAACTGACTTTGTGATAAAATGTTTTTTTTTTTTATTTTCTATAGATTCTATAGATACCTCGATCAGCTTCATTTATATTTTATTTAATAAAAATTGCGTGGTCTATCATTTTGACAGATCTAGCAATCAACATTGACATAATAAAGATTAATTTTTTACCTTGATCGTCAGTCCTTCGAGACCAAAATGCGATTGAACCTCTGAAAATCATACGAACAACCTGAATTTCTCTGAAAATGTCAATTTTTGGACCCCAAAAACACGCGCAAAAGTTAGCTACTTCTGCCCTCGAACTTCCCCCTGAAACTTCTTCATAGTGTGGGGAACACTACCTTTGAAAAAAAAGTAAAATTTGATGATACAATTGATCACCACCAATATTTCGACTGGCAAAGTTACATCTAAAGAAGTTGCCGATTTCCTGCTGAATGTCAAAGAAACTGGCAGTCAACAAAAACTATAAGTTTATTTCAAATTTCTCTTCAACTCCTGGAAGTTGAGAAACATATAAAACAAAATCATCAATTTTGCTTCTCAAAACATCACAAAAGTTCTCATGACTAAAGATAAAAATAACGAGGTGTTAATAAAAATGGAACGAGAGCAGGGAGATGCGCTGGCGTGTCAACTTTTTAATGTCGCCTTAGAAAAAGTTGTACGAGACGCTAATTTAGATAGCAGGGGAACAATATTTAATAGATCAGTCCAAATTTTAGCATATGCAGACGACGTGGACATTATAACAAGAACTAGGGCGAGAACTGCGGAAATCCTAACCGAGCTAGTAGCAGCAGCAGAACGAATGGGGTTACATATAAATCAAAATAAAACCAAATTCATGGTGACTAACACAAACACAAGAGCTGGCAATGTTGACGCAATTTTAATCATCAATGACCAAAACTTCAAAGCAGTCAAAGAGTTCATATATCTAGGTACATCGGTTAACTCCAATAATAATACATCTGAGGAAATAAAAAGGCGAATAATAATTGCAAACAGGTGTTATCACGGTCTATCAAAGTACTTAGCTAACAAACGTCTGTCTCAAAAAACTCGTATAAGGCTGTATAGAACACGGATAGTCCCCGTTCTCACATATGGATCAGAGGCATGGACGCTAACTAAAACAGATGAATCCGCTCTATCGATTTTTGAAAGAAAGGTGCTACGCAAGATATTCGGAGCGGTCTGTGAGAACGGAATATGGAGGCGTAGATATAACTTTGAACTGCAGAATATCTACAAGCATACGTTTGGTGGTAAAGATATTACCACTACAATTAAGCGAAACCGCCTGCAGTAGGCAGGACATGTAACCTGGTCCCCTGAATCGAACGATAAAAAAGATTTTAACAGCGCAACCCGTGGGAATGAGAAGACGCGGTAGACCAAAGCTGAGGTGGATGGATTGGGTAACACAAGATGTGGAGCATATCGGAAAATGCAAGCAAGGGACAGAACAGGATGGCGTAGAAAGCTTGAGAAGGTCGAGGCCCTCTAAGGGCTGTAGCACCAAGATGATGATGATGATGATGAAAATTGCACGTGGATTAAGGATTTTATTTAGACCTTTGGATACTGATGTTTTGGTGATTTTAATGGAAAAGGCACAAAATTTCACAATCCGCAATTTGGCTAGTCTCTTCAGCAACTAAAAAGTTAGATAACCAAAACCAACAAACACCTTTATTGCATCAACTGCAGCAATTTGACTCTGAAGTTAAGTTCAAAATTATGTCTGGTCATTGACAATTAGATCTGAATTAACATTGCCAGTTCTTGTGTTTGCGTTAGTCAGCATGGATTTGGTTTTATCCACCAAACACACACCACAGAGAAAAACGAGTCTGGTGCCTATAAAGTTAGTTTTATTTAATATCAAACGAGAAGAGACAAATGCACAGGAAGAGCAACGATTAAATAAAATTGGACATTTGTGTTGTAATCAAAACTAAGTGACTTGACAAAACTGTATTGTTATTAACATTTAAAAGCCATTATATATTTAAATTTTGCTCCACAACTAATTTTTACAATGAATTATCTAGAATTTTTCTATAAATTACCTCAGTTTTTAAGAATTACTGATTCGGATAGATTACTTATCATTTCATAGAAAAGTATTTGCAATTTCATCACCATTTACACAATGGTATTGCTAATAACACTATTTTTTCGATTTCGTAAAACGGTAGATATGTGGATTACCAGTCATAATAAAATTAATAAATATTTACTTGGTAATTGTGTAACTAGATTGAAATGCATTGTGTATTACTAGGAAAATTTACTTTAGTGATTATTAAATAGACAACGGTTCGTAATATTCGTTATAATTATTCGATAAAAGCTATATCGCTCATTGAAACTACGCGTATATCCCTTTCAAAGATAAGCGCCTCTCATTACCTATTTTGCTTCATCAGGTTCCATCTCCTCGACGGAGAATAAAGATCAATAAAACAATCTTGATTTTATTTGTAGCTGAGTAGAGAAAACTCTGTCATCTGAAAAACACTGTCATCTGAAGAAAAATTACTGGAATTAGAAGAAGAGCTAAAATACATAAAATGGGACGTTATGAAGACTGTATAACTCTTAAATCAGGGCATCAACTTTTCTATATGGGAAACAAAGAAAAATAGGAGGAGTAGGACTTCTTATACATAAGAGACACACTAAAAATATTTAACAACTTAAAGGTATCAACCCAAGAATAATACTCTGCATACTGAAGCTTAACAAAAAAACCAGCCTTAAAATAATTCAATCCTATGCACCTACATCTACATACTCGGACGAGGAAGTGGAAACCTTTTATGAAGACCTAGAAAATGCAGTAAAACTGGCGCCTACTACACACAACCTAGTAATGGGTGACTTTAATGCTAAGTTGTAAACTGGATCTTAATGGGATGTAAACTGGACGGGAA